TTTGTACAAAAAAGTCATTTTTGCTACTGTTTATGTTTGATTGAAGGAAAACCAGCTGCCTTGGAAGACAAAACTAATCCAGATGTGTTGCCAACGGAAATTTAGGAAACATTTGTAGTTTCTAACCAGGTCAATCTGCCTGCCTACCCCCTATTTAAAAGGTTTTTAAAAAGAGCTGGAATGAAGCCAGATGTTGGTTGTTATAACATTAAAAGGCATAATGTTTTTAAGCTGCTGTTTTTAGGTCCGAGCTGAAGTTGTTTCTGCATGGTGCACAAGAATTTGATGGTGTTTCACAATTTATTGAAGAAATTTGAGCAAAGCAGATTTATGGAAGCTGTGTTAGTGAGTCAGTTCAAACTGATGTACCTAACTGAAGAATATTCAAGTCGTGTTTTTCAGAATTTAGATTTTTCTAGAGAGAATTCAATAATGTACACCTTGCAAGCAAAAGTTCAAGTGATGGATGTAAATGAGAATTATGTTAAAAATAAATGCTTTATCCCTAACGTGTGTAGCTGATATCTCTTGAACCGTGCCAGACTCAGCATACTTGTAAACTTGCAAATCTTTATAAGCCTTGAGCCAATGTAAAAACTATGGCTTTAAATTAAGTAATTCACCAAATACGCCGTGATGTTGGGGAACTTATAAATATCACGCCGTAATGACCAAGGGGATCAAGCAAGGGTCAAAAACTTCAGTTTGTTTATCGTATCTCCACTAAGCGTTGAATAGTATGCACTTCAAGACATTCGTTCTAAATAAAAATATTCTCTTTCCTCAGCCTGATAACCACCCCTGTTTATAAATATAAGTATTATCAAAAATGTAATATTCAAGCTCTTTTTCACTTGATCCGCTTATTACTGCGGCTTCTAGAATTTTCTTCATTATAACAATTAAGCGTAAATGATCAACAGCAACCAAAATCCAATTGACAAGGTAAAAAATACAAATACACCAACGTAAAATGATTAATAATAAATTGTGTAAGATTAGGTTTAATACTGAAAGCAGTGAACTAGGCATTCCAATAACTATCATTTCGTTACAGAAATAACGCAAATGCAGTATTAAAATAAGGAATAACATTAGTATTGCATGACAGTATTTAGTATGTCCAATAACTCTCTATTGCCTTTTTTAATGTCAGCGGCATAGAGAAAGTAAAATATTACTTATTTATTATTTTACTTACTCTATGGTCAGCGGTAATCGGGAACGCAGTTGGTTAGTTTGATTCTTCAAGGCGTAGGCACTCTTGCCACAGCGGAGCTTTTGTATCAGCCCAGCAAAGATTTAACAACCACAGAAGACCCACCGGTACTCACTGAAACTCGTCGGTTGGGCAACCTCGCGCTATTAACTGGCGGATTTGACAACTATACAGCGTTGTCACTTTTTACCCACTGTTTTCTTTTCTCGCAATCCCCAATAGTCCTCACTTTTTTTTTGGTTTCTAGACTTGAAAAACTTCTACTCCAACAGCATACTGCCTCGCTAGCAGTGACTGAATTAATCGGCGAGCTATCGGAATTTGAGCTTAAGAAAGAACTAGAGTCATCGGGCGCACGCTGTATACTTTTCCCAAATACCGGCAACGTTGCTAGAGCGCAAACCGCACAAATGCGAGGTTAATTTGACATAACCCCAAACTTGCAACAAACGGCGTGCTTTGCTCTGGTGTTTTCAGCTTAACAGCACTCTTGTCTTGTTATTTACCGAAAATGGAGAATCCCGGTAGGTTTTCAGCCAATAAACGCAGAGAACGCGAAAAATTAACCAGTCTTTCCACAGGGTCGGAGAAAAAGCGCAAGAAAATCAAGGAAGAGAAGCTTGTTGCTCTGCAAAAAGAAGCCAGCTTTCAGCTGGAGAGTTCGGACAAAACGGCCAAGCTCGATACCTCTCAATGGCCCCTATTGCTCAAGGTAACGAACGATAACCCAGCGCTGGCAAAGCTAATGAGGAATTTTCCGTAGAATTTCGACCGGATGAATGTGCGAACCAACCATTATACGCCTATTCCATGCGGGGCCAGCCCCCTGAAACGTGAGTTGTCTGAGTACATCAAATCGGGGTATATTAACCTGGACAAGCCGAGCAACCCCAGTTCACACGAGGTGGTGGCTTGGATCAAACGCATCCTCAGGGTGGAGAAAACTGGACATTCGGGCACTTTGGATCCCAAAACCACTGGTGAGCACTTAACCTGACTTCGCCGATTAGTTGATTTAACAAATGTTTTTAATCTTATTTAGGCTGCCTGATTGTCTGCATTGAGCGGGCGACCCGACTGGTCAAATCGCAGCAAGCCGCAGGTAAAGAGTACGTGACGGTCTTCAAGCTGCATGCCCCCATTGAAGGGGGCGCGTTGAAAGTGAAGCAAGGCTTGGAGAAGTTAAAAGGGGCGCTGTTCCAGCGCCCCCCTTTAATTTCAGCCGTCAAGCGACAGCTGCGAGTGCGAAGTGTCTACGAGAGTTCGCTCTGTGATTTTGACGAAACTAGAAACCTTGGTGAGTCTTAGACGCCTCCTAAATAGGGCGATTGTCTATAGATCTAAAATTCTCACTGAATTCCAGGAGTGTTTTGGGTCAAATGCGAAGCTGGATCCTACATTAGGACCATGTGTGTGCACTTGGGACTGGTGCTAGGAACTGGTAAGTGCGTCTAACAGTCATAAACCGCCCAGTACTCAAGCAGCGCTTTTTAGGCGGACAAATGTTGGAACTGCGACGGGTTCGATCGGGAATTATGGGCGAGATGGACGACACTTCTACACTACACGACGTTTTGGACGCGCAATGGCTGTACGACAACCACAAGGACGAAAGCTACTTAAGAAGGGTGATCAAACCGTTGGAAGGGCTGCTGGTCAAGCACAAGCGAATAATCATGAAGGACAGCTCGGTAAGTGTGACTTCACTGCCTCCAGGACTGGTCCTAAAGGTGATTTTTTAGGTGAACGCAGTTTGCTTCGGGGCCAAAATCCTGCTACCGGGCATTCTCAGATACGACGACAACATCGAGATGAATGAGGAAATCGTGATTGTCACCACTAAAGGAGAGGCGATCGCTTTGGGCATTGCCCTCATGACAACGGGTACGATCGCTTCCTGTGATCATGGAGTGGTGGCGAAGATCAAGCGGGTGATAATGGAGCGCGACACGTACCCCCGTAAGTGGGGCCTCGGCCCGCGGTCCAGCCAGAAAAAAATCCTGGTTTCCCAAGGAAAACTCGATAAATACGGTCGCCCCAACGAAAACACCCCCAGCGAATGGATCAATACCTACGTGGACCTGTAAGTTGAACCTATATAAAATAAATAAATGCACAGCAAATTGGCTAAGTGCTGAATTTTGTTTCAGTAAAAAGGAAATCAAGAAAGAGATCGACGAAAGCCAGACAGTACCCATTGAAGAAGAGTCTAAGAAAGTAAGTGTATAAACCGCGCCCATTCCATATGGAGGGCTAATGGATGTTTTTTTCTAATTAGCGCAAGCTGAGCACTAGCACCGACGTTTCAATGGACGTCCCCGCGAAGGAGAAGCACAAGAAGAAAAAGCATCGGTTGGAGTCCGAGGCCGACACAGAGGTGCGTGTTTGCCATATCAAGCCTGACTTTAATTAATCTAATTCTAGGCAACTCCAAATCAAAATTAATTCCTG